GGGGGGGAGGGGGACACGAATCTTTCCAAATTAAATACAAAAAAATATATTATTTCCTAAGTCTGTCCAAAGTTCTTATTATGTCAATATTAATATTCATAAAGCAGCACTAAGTGGCCTGAAACATCTCTAACCTTGACAGTTTTTTTCAGGGGTAATAATACTGCGCAGCAAATGCAGGCCAACCAAAAACCACTTAACTAATTAGTAGTTGCAGTCACCGAGAAAACATGAATCAACACTGTTATTACAAGTGGCACATTTGAGTGGCATCTAATTATGACTTGATGAGCACGATACTTGCATTATCAACATTACTACTGCATCCCATCAGGGACTAAAAGCCGCTGATGGCATTGACTGCGAGAAACTCCCACTCAATGGTACTGCAGCACCCAACAATCTCCTTGGCAGGGGCACCCTCACTAAATGACATGTTAAGCGTAATTACTGGTAGACATTGTAAATAAACAGGATTGGAAGTGAAAATTGTACCAAGTGCATAAGACACAATCTGACACATTGGAAGTGGCAGCCTTAATTGAGAGTTTCTTTGACTGCTCAAGATCATTTCAACTGCATTTCTCGGAGGACAGTGATTATAACTGTGGAGACAGACGGCATAATGGTATCAGCACTGCTGACAGAGCAGTGAATTAAATTGTATCTGCTGTTGTGTGAAAGCCTTGATGAGAGGTACAGATCCTTAGTGGTCTTATCATTATAACACAATGGTCATGTTGTCATCAACCTTGCTGGCTCCAATTGAAAAGAAATGATTGTGTGTTGAAGCTTTCCCCCCCACCACCACCTTCTATCTCTTGTGCTCAATAGAACCAATTTTCAGAGAGCTATGAAATCACGCAATAGGGCCTAAAATGCAGCTGCTTGGCATACAAACGGGGCCCCATTAAACTGGAATCACACACAATATGTGTTTATGCCAGGAGAACAAATAGAAGCTGAGTACAGGCCAAGTTTATTCACAGACACAAAGCCAATGTAGCTCTTCATCAATATAATTGCCTTTTATATTGTCGTTTAAATAATGGGCTCTATTATTGCCTTAAAATCCTAATATTCCTGGCATTTTATCACTATGTTTACAAGGTATGTCCTTTAAAAATGTGAAAGGAAGATAAAAGAAACCTATAAAATTTTACAACATCAAATATAACTTCAAATTTTAAGTCTTAACTACTTGACATTTTCTGCCACACTCTCCTATTCCTCGTATCATAACAAAACCAAAACAGGCTGTAGTTTTTTCCAGAGGAATTAGACTTCTTGGAGAACATTCTTGTCTCACAGAACAGTTATCCAAGATCACAGATGATCCCTGTTGATTTTAGATTCTTTTCCATAATTGTATCAGATGAACAATTATAAACCAGAAGTGAGCAAACTCCTCTATTAACACAGTCACACAAAAGTACACGCCATGTGATTTCCTTCTCCTGCGTTAACTTCATCCACATTTCTGATGCTTCACGGTGCAGTTCATGGTACTGGCACAAACCAGACATCACAGACCACAATCCCATTGTAACTGTCTCTTCTAAGGAGCTATTCCGCTAGGATACTTCCACTCCCATTAGATGTGCTTTGTTGCTTCCAGACACCATACAGTTTCAACAAAAACATTAATATAAAAGTATAAAACTGAATATTGACATTCTCACAGCCCAGACAAGACATAACTTGCACTAAAAATTATCAACAGACAGCAGTTCATCCTTAATACCTTTATTGGTAACGAAAAAAAAAATTCCATTATTAGCAATCTCAGCAATAGGGTCAAATCCCACTCCATCCAAGCATGTCACTTGCAGAATCCAGGTGAGATTGAGCTGCATCTCTACCATTATATTTTCACCACTTTGCACCCCGAGAATGGCTACATTGGCTCCCTCTGTCCGGTGCCCCCCTGTGTAAGACAATATAAATGCTGCCCCAGCCACTAGCCTGACAATGGTTAAATTCTCACTGGATTAGCTCCTTAACACAAGGCTTTGAAGGAGAAACAGCACATGGACCTGAATCTCAGCATTCTTAACACTGCTGTAGAGTGCTCATAACTCTCTATACCAAAATAACCCCACTAACATTCATTATCAGCTTACTTTTCTGAAACTCCTCCAGTTTTTTGACAGCTTCATCTCGTTCTTGCTTGATTTTGTCACACTGCAGAAGAAGAGAAAATTGAAATGAAACACTGATCCTGGTTATTTCATTAGCAGTCAGTCACAACATGCAAAAGCAGCAAAGATCAACTGCTGGCACAATAACGTACAGAAGCTTATCAAAGCATTGTTTCTTCTTGCTCTCAGTCATGTGGGCTCAGTGGAAAGTATGCATAAAAAATTCATTACCCAGAGCATTTCCTAATGAAACTGGCAAGTTGTATTTGATTTTAGGTTCCAATTCAGAGCTACTCTGGAAATATTTTAGAACCACATTATCCACACTGATACAAACACTCATCGGTGTTCCACACAACAGCGAAAGCAATACTTTCTTAACATGCAAAACTGCATGTCAAGAATATGCTTTAAGTCTGGTTTCATTAATGCAAATAGACTTGGAAGAGAGGCGTACATTTCTATACCTACCCTGTGCAAAGAAAACCTCAAAGCCAATAAACAAGGACATGCTCTTCAGCTTCCCAATACCATGAGCAAAACTTCAGCCTTGAAGAAGGGAGAACAGCCACCTTCGTACTCTAAGGATTTCCTATCACCCCAGCTTTATTAGTTTTGGGGTTAATACTAATACTACACAGAGCTGCAATCACTGATCTTGAGATAGAAAGGTTTCTTCAACAAGAAAGAATAAACCAGAAAAAGAATTAAGTAGACTTCTCTAAGAAAACCCCTTCCATAAGCCAATGAAAGAACTCACAAAGAAATGAGTAAACTTCTCAAAAGCCCCAGTTAGTGATTAACCACACTGTGAAAAACACATGACCCAGGGGGAAGTATGACTGGCACACAACGTGTCTTACAGACATGGTGTACCAGACATCCTTCCTCACATGGGGCTGCCTATGCTCACAGTAATAAATCAACGTAAGACTGTGAGTTAAGTTGTGGAAGAGATCTGTGTGACTGAGCTCCGTACAGTGTAACTGCAACAACAAGGACACTAGTCACTGGAACAGAACTGGGGGAAAAAAAAGCCCTGAACTGATTTTGCTTGATTTTCAGTTTTTCCACATGAGAACCCACTTTGAGTTAGCCAGGAAAGTAGCCTGCTGTTAAGTAATGAGAAGGGGAAGAGCCTGATTCAAAGGCAGCCAAATTCAAGAGAGAGCCCTTCTATCAGGTCCAGAGGACCTTGGATGAGACCCAAAGAAGGATCTGCTCCTGGGCAAGGAGAGGATGCCCCTGGTATTGCCTTAGGGGCAGCCTCCATACAGGCTTTGGAAGCCACTGCTGATGGTTCTCTGTGGGAGCAAAAGGAGCAGCACTCAACAAGCAATCTCTCTTCTCTTGGCACTGGGGTGATAAGGTAAGGAGAGCAGCTGAGATGGGGAAACAGGTCAGTCACCAGCTGCTGAAAAGGTCTGTGAAACAAGGCAGAGCTGCAGAAGGAACAAGATGTGCTAAGAAGCAGCAAGACGTGCTAAGCAAGCGGCACCGGACAAGGACTCACCGTTCATCTGGCCCTGCTAACAAAGGAGCTTTAGAGAATCCTGCACAGGAGAGGTGGGGAAGGAGAATCTGTGCATGAATTTTGCTGTCGTCCCTCTCAGTTTCCTCAGCATTACCTTACTGGCAGAAGTGCAGTCTAAAAAGAGGCGTCAGTCAAAGACACAGAAAGTATTCCTGATTGTTCCTGCAGATCACAGCCTCGCTGCAGAAGGGGGATGAGAGTGAGCTGCTGCCTCTTTGTACTCAACAAGAGAGACACTGTAACCACACTGGCATACTTCACCCACGGATTCTTCTGCAGGGTGCAAGCTTTCAGCACACAGCACATTAAGTGAGCAAGAGCGTTTTAATGCTCAGTTTAAAAACCAGGAAGACTGGGAGCTTTAAGGATCTGATCTATTGCCTGTGGAAGTCAACAAGACACTTTCCTACTGATGGAAACCTTGATGTAGAGGATGCGGTACACTCCCTATCCCAGTGATAGGAAAAACTCCTTTTGAAATCCTCCAGCAACACGCTATAAGGCATAACAGCTTTCCCTGTGCAGCGAAAGGGGAAGTTCAGTGACCTATTCCACTTCACCTTGAGTGCTATTTGCAGAGAGAGCTCCATTTGGACCACGGCAAGCTGACTATTCTCCCGATAGCGATGCCTATTTCTCTGCACAATCAGGGTCTGCAAGTTTGGGTCTCTGCAGAGCAATTCCTGCTCCCAGTTGCAGCTTTCTCAATATTTTCCTTTCGCTGCTCCTGTGCTTCAGAATGAAAGAACAGGAAGAAAAGGAGAGCGGGAGATTGTTGCCCTTGCCGAAACGATCAATGGAAAGCACTTTGCTTTTTGTCTTGCAATCAGACCCATGCAAGCAGAGCTGCTGCAAGTCCCACCAAAAAAACTATCTCAGCTCCAATTTTCCTAAGAATTAAAGTTGAGATTGTCTTCAACTACTTGTTAGTGTTTCAAACTGGAAAGTTAGGCAAACAAAATAGGAAACAATTAAGTTTCATAACAAAAAAAAACATTTTTACCCCTTAAAATAAACTGACCTTACCTTTAAAAACAGGACAATTTTAAAACATCAAAATTTAGAAGATGCTCTCAAAATCTGCACTGAAGACTTAAAAATTCACAACCACTTCACTCCTCAAAAAAGCAGTTTGAGGTGTATACATTAGGATTGTTAACTGACAAAAAGTATCACTAAATATTAAAAGACAAATAGCATAACGTTGCTATAAAATCTGTTCACATGCAAGCACATGCAACTGTTAAGGAGAAAGAACTTTCAAGTATTTACTAAGTCTCCCCTTGTAGGTATTAACAGACAGCTCCATACTCAAGAGCACCCTCAAACAAAAAGTATAATAATGAAAAGGTTGGTAACTCTTGGATTGTCAATATATTTTCCATTTTAAACTTTATTTTCTTAAGAGTTTCAGCTTCTCATCAGAGGAAAATAAGCACTGATACCATTTTATTTACTATATTTTTAATCTAATAATTATAGCACCATTAATCCCAATAAAAAATTTCAAGGTGATAGACAATATTCCCGTTCCAGTCCTGAACTAGCCATAAGGGTCAATGATAGTATTTTGGCAATAAGAATACATTGCATCTGTCTTTTTAGATGTAACAGTTCAGTTGCCAAAATTCATTCTGTGAATAACTCCTTAGAATTCTTCATCTCTGCAGGAGCAAGTTGAGGAGCTCTGCTGATCCCACTCAATTTCAGGTTTTTGCCTTCTAGGTACACAAGATCTGAGGCAATACTTTCATTTCTAGCACAGAGAACTAGTATGCTGACTACAAGTATATCATGTATACATCAAAGAACAGCGTTCAAACCGAATGCTGCATAAATATAGCGAGGCAAATAGCGGTGAACTTGGCCTGTACTTGGAGCTAGCACAATACCAGGACAGTTGGGAAGCTGGTGCACACAAGCTGCTGGAAGACTGTGGGTACGTCCAGAGTCATGCCTTGCCACTAACTCCAGGGAGGCCTGGGTTTCTTGTCTATTCTCTTCTAAAAGGCTCCTGTTTTACCAGCTCTTTTGCACATAAGCTCCTACTCACTTCAGTAAAATACCTTCAAAGGGCAAAAACAAGGAGGAGATTGTTCAGTCCAGATATTAAGATGCAAGAAGTTCACATAGTAGCCATACAGTCAATCAAGCCATTGCTAAGCAACATAATATGCATTCCTTCCCATTTACACAGACTGTGAAATTTATGCAGATTTAATGCTTGTTGTAAAATTATGAGTTTGGTACAGTGCTCACAAGTGTCATCTGACATCTGCTATACTCTACTTACAGAAGAATGAGCATGTCATCAAGGCAGGATCCCTTCCCCATTCCCATTTGGTGACAAAACATATCATCCACTCTATACATTTGCTTTAACAGAGCAAACACCGTGAATGATGTATCAGAGATACAGTATTACACCTACTGTTTTGGATAGCTGTCTCGCCTTCCTTTTTTCTTTTCCCTACTGGCAGCATGACAAAACACTGTCAAAACCAGTGTTCAGAGTCATTTCTGTCTGATTAGCAAGTAGTCAAATATTTATTCATGATCTGACTCTGAATACGTCAGAACTGCATATTAAGTGATCTGCATTTGTGTGCAACCGAATGTTAGTTATCTGTTTTGGGGGGACTGGTATGTGTGTTTAGTCGGCTATTTCAATTAAAAGGATGACCTAAGAGAAGTGATCTGCCAATGTCATTTTTGTTCCCGTTTTTTGAAGGATTTATAAATACTAATTTAAAAAAATGCCTGTCAGAGACCCCACCAGAGGTCTCCAAATGGCAGTTTAAGAAGACAACGAGGAAGACACTGCACATCAAAGATCTTCTATTTTGCTCCTGAATTTTCATGGTTATTAGCAGCCCTTTAAGCAGCAGGGCTTTAAATAAAGTAACCTACATAAAAGTCAATTTTACATAGAATGGGTTGGGTTGGAAGGGACCTTAAAGCTCATACAGTTCCAACCCCTGTCATGGACAAGGACACCTTCCACTAGAGCAGGTTGCTCAAAGGCCCCTGCTTTGGATGTCTTGAAGTGGAGAACCTGCCATACAAACTGGAGACTCAGAACACATCTTAGTTTAAGTTAGCTGCCCATTATCCACCAAGTTCCATGTTTCTAATGTAAGATCATTTCTCCACAGCACAGCTCATCTTTCAGAGCCATACAAGTGTAGTGATGACTTAGAAAAACACTCCACTGAGTGTGTGAAATGCACACAGATAACAGACCCCTGTCTAACTCCAGTGTGGCACTGCCACAAATAGCCTGCAAGTCCTCTGCTGAAAAAAATTAAGTTTCACTTCTCTTCCTCCTATCAATACAATTATGTGACCACAACTGGTAGAGAGGAAGCCATCTGCTTACACTCATACTGACAGACAGTGGCAGAAACTGGAACTGAATGCACCCACAACTTCCTAGATCCACAGCAGACAGAACCTCTGCTATACTTTCTCCAATATCAGGTTTGATCCTGCAAAGCATAAACTAAGATACAAAGTTAGAGACACTAATGAGCTTTCAAGGATTACGCAGCCCTGAAATAACACAAGGAATAGTTTTTTCCAGTACTGGCACTGTAAGCAAACAAAACGAAGAACTTGGTATCAGTAGATTTTGTAGAAGAAATGCACTCAGGGCCTCACACTGAGGCACTTGAGTGCAAGCATTTAAACAACTAAGCAGCACTGCTTATACAAGCACCTCTATTTGCAGGATGGAGGTTCTTGAATGGAGAACACTTGCATAAGAACCGAAAATCCTCCAACCCTGAGCACGTGCTTAATTTGTGGATGTAATCCCCATGTGCTCCAAAGCAAAAAAAACCCACCATCATACCAACCTTCAGAAGAAACACACAGGAGTGGCTAGAGATAATGCAGTTATAGGAAAGAAGTCTCGTGAGAGAGACGAGCAAGGAAGAAAGAAGAGCAGGATGCAAGAAAATCTCAGAATGTCTCATTTCATTTCAATTTTGGCAACAACATCTTTTATTAGAATTCCTCTGAGGAGAAAAAAAAATAAATAAAAAGTAGCTCAAGAAAAGCCCCTTCATCCCAACCCACCCCAACCTAAACAAAGCTTTGCTGAAGAAACACCAAAGCTAGCAGGACCTGGGTTCAGAGCAAAGCTGTGAAGCCCATTTTTCATGCAGTGGTCAGGCCTGGTGTGAAACTCCTCACACGTGATGGAAGCCAACCATCAGCATGGGCCTGGGGGGATAGGACAAATTCAAGTGAGAGAGCTGTGGAGGGCAGAACACACTAAAACCACATGCAGCTGAGGAAGTCCCCAGGCTGCAAGCAGTTTGGAGATTAGAAGAGTACTCTGTGGAGGTGCTACACATGCTCTTACACTCCTCCCTCTCTGTTCCTGTCAGAGACAGGATACTGAGTTAGATGGACTCTTGGTCTAACTCAAGTTCATTCTCCTTTCATTCTGAGCAGCAGGAGATGAACTACCACAGTCTTCTGAACTGCAAAAATAGAGGACGGATTTCCCAGGATATCTGAAGCTCTGGTGTAGGACAGCAGAACACGAATGCAGCAACAAGCACAGTAAAAATGATGAGGAGTGAGTGGGGAGGAGGGAGTGAAGCACAATATGCTGAGCTCAGTGGATATACACATAATCACTGCTGAAGCATAACATGAAGATAAGCTTCAAGTTTTCTTTAAGAATGATACAGTAGTTAAGGACAAGATCTTCCCAATACACCCTTGAATTGCAACGTTTATAACAACAACTGGATTAAAAGCGACCCTTCAAAAATGACTTTATAAAAAGCTAAATTAAACTTGCATGCTTTGGCAGCTAACAGATATCTGAAAACTAACATGTTTCTTGCATCTTCAGCTGACTAATACTGGAGAAAGGAGAATTTTTTGTTTACAATACAGTACAGCACCACCTCCTCTGCCTTCCTCACTATCTATAACCGATAAGAGGCTTTTAGTGGCCACAGCTTCTTTTGGCAGGTATCTGCTAAAAACCTTTTGCACATTGATGTGGATTTTTGCAACATAACACTACCACCAAATCTGAGTTCTCTGTTCCCATTGGTTTCCCTGCAGAAAGCAGGTGTGGTGAATGAACAAGAGTCCCGAGTGGAAAAAGATATTGCACGTGCTTAATTTTACTCCTATAGAGTTAATCATAGTTACAAGGAACAATCTAGAAACTGGTCACTATTTTCAGACTTAAACAGGGGAAGTTCACGTCAGATATAAGGAAGAAGTTCTTCACAGTGAGGGTGGTGAGGCACTGGAATAGGTTGCCCAAGGAAGCTGTGAATGCTCCGACCCCGGAGGTGTTCAAGGCCAGGCTGGACAGAGCCTTGAGCAACATGGTTTAGGGTGTGGTGTCCCTGCTCATGGCAGGGGGTTGGAACTGGATGATCTTAAGGTCCTTTCCAACCCAAACCATTCTATAATTTTATGATTTCTTACTCCAGTATCTCTGAACACTGAAAAAAATAAGCCTGTAGTAATGTGAGAAGTTCAGCCTGTACATTTGAAGCTTCAAGTTGGACAGGCACCAGATCTCACAGAAGGATGCTGAGAATACGTTTTACACTGTAGTACCATCCTGCAAGTTGAGATAAGACAACTTGCTCTCCTCTTAAAAATTGGACTGGCGGTTGGAGATTTCAAATACCTTCAGAGATCATATTTCTACAGTCTGAATTTTCAGAAGGGTTGGGTGAGGGGAATTGTTTTATTTTCCGGGGAATTGTTTTATTTTCCTTTCAGGAAGTCCCATTGTGCAAATCAAGTTGTAACAAACAATTTTCAGATCCAAGAGAAGTTTCCTTAAGAATATCTAAACACTTTACTTGGTCTGTGCTCAGTCTGTAATCATGGGCAAACTGGCTATAGCATCACTCATATACATATATATATATATGATATATATACATGTATAGCAATATATGTGTGTGTGTATATATACATATATGGCATGTATATGTGTGTGTATATATATGTATAGCAACTTTTCTGGAGCGGAACAAATAAAACAGCTGCTGGAAGTGGTATTTATTGCTCCTGAATACATATAGGTATAACTAATACTTACTATTTGTAAATAATCAGCTAAGCTCACAAAAGCAGACAACAACCTGCCATAGCCAATAGGGTTTTCTGATATTTGGCATTTTAGTATTAAATAATAATCAGTAGATACAAACCTCTTCTTTCGTTTTCTTATTTTCTGCTCTAAGCTCTTCATATTCACCAATAGCTATACAGGGAAAAAAGAAAAAGAGTAAAGTTAATGTTGCAGCACCTCATTTGGTCGGATTAACTCCCCATTTCATTCACTGTAAAGCTCTTCTGGTTATCTACACAGACTTCTTACATAACATGGGTCATAAACTTCATTAATAGCCTATGGATGAACTGGATGTACTTCTAGGATTGAAGTAATTGGGAAGTGTCTGAGTAATATGGTGGCTCCCCAAACAATCAATTTTTGATCAATGGAGAGTTAAACAATCTTATTGATCGAGTTCAAAAATTACAAGGTGAATGTACTGGCTTGCAGTCACCATTTTAAAGCCACACTGGCTCAGGTTACAGATCAATCCTAGAAAGCATGGCTAATGCAATACTGATACACGTATGTACATCCAGACTAGCTGAGCACCTTCATTTATTAACATTTCCTTCCAAGAAGACTCCTAGGAGAGTTTTTTTCTTTAAACTCCACAGTGTAGACATGAAAAGATTGTATAATTTATCCAAGATCACACAAGAACTGAGCTGCATGGATCAGCAGGGAAGGGATCAACCTCCAGGACGCCAGAGGTCCGTTGTTTCAACCAGTAAATAATATGCAGGAACAACCTATCAGCTACCAATTCAGCTTCCAGTTTACTGCAGATTTTCGTGTGTCCTTCTTAAACCTTTTATTTTACCACCTTAGGGATGTGCCATTATTGCCACAACTTCCCAATTCTATTCTTTCAAGTGTGTCTCATATGGGCTGTGTGGTCTTCCAGACCATAGACGTTTCATTGCCACTAGACAGAAGCTGAAAACATCACCAAACCTTAGAGAAACCAACCTTGCTAGAAAGGAACACTTCAAGATGCATACTGCAAGAATAAAATGAGAGGGCTGCTCACATCACTATGCATCTTATTCCAGCCCTCAGTATCTCCTCAGATTTTTCCTTGTACCTGAGATAAGCTATACTAGCATACAGGTTTTAATTCAAGCAAACTTCATTAAAACCAGATAGAAGGTATGAATATATAGTTTTCAGCTGATGATGGCACAGATGTTGGAGTTTCATTGTATGTCTTACCCTACCTCTGAAGATGTGAACATGGAGAGTGGTAGATCAGCCACCTGAAAACTTATTAGCTCCTTCCAGCTTTAGATGGTTAAACTTTTTCCAACAGGAAGCTTTACAAATGAAGTTATACTTTGCACCATTGTGATGTCCCTTTTCTCCCTCCTCCTCAGTGTTTCAAAATCTGTTGAAATAAAACTAACTCACCCCTGAAAGCTAGGTCCACAGCACCACTGTTCTGTTTGCCTTCAGCATGCCTCTTACTCTCAGCAGCAGAAGCACCTCATATGTAAAGACCTTAAGTTATCCTAATTCCTTTTTTGTCCAAGATCACTTCAGTTTAGAGATGCGTGACTGAGGTACATGAAGGATGGGGTACAGGCAGCAGTATTAGGTCCTGGACTCAGAACTCTGCTCCTTATGTGCCCTGACCACCAGTAGGGAAATGGCAAGATCCTGCTGATTATATTAACTAGAAAGAGAAATGAAGGAATGCTAGAAATCTCTTAGCCAGAATCTCAGCTCAACTGTGACCAGCAATCCAGGGCCCTCAAAAAACAAACATTAAATAAACCCACAGAAAACAAAGTCACAGTCCACATGCAAACTCATGGGAAATCTAATCATTTAAACATGTGGGAAAACTCCTCCCTCCTGCTCATCCAAGTAAAAAGGTGGATCTAAAGAGGGGGAATGAACAAAACCAGGCTTCTTAAAAACGTGCCTTGCATCCCCACACCAGTAAAACTAAGGTTTCCCATCCATCCCTTTACTTTGTTCCCAGTCCTCCTGACTTATCCCCAAGATCCCTACTCATTTTCCATACTCAAGAAGCAGAAAATCACAGCAGGTAGATGAACAGGGAAGAAACCATGCTGATGCAGTTGCTCTAAAAGCACCTTAAGTAAAGTACACTGGAACACAAAAGCTGTACCTATGCCTCTTGATCACTGTTCCACTTATAAGCCATTTCCCTTTTCTCTTTGGGAAAACAAGGGAAGAGATTTCTAGCATCCAGATGTAAGAAAAGAAAAGGAAAGGAAACTGTATCAACAGATGCACTCAAGCTTCTTCATACTTGAAGACTGGTGGTGTTTGCTTGCCTTTAAGGCAAACTCATACTTGTTACTCAATACTTTATAAATGACCAAAAAAATGTAAATACAGGTTTGCCCCACCCTTGACAGCTCTCCTCACATGACCAGAGAACTCTGAATCACCAGCCCTTAAGGCATGGATACGAGAACAAGTTACTGAAAAACAAGGATTCGAACTTACTGGGAATTGCTGGAGTGTTGTGTAAGGGCTCATCTGTGTAACACTGGGATTAAACTGTCTCCTTGGGGCAGCCCTTCCCATTTTACTGTGCATGGTTCCCTATGGAACACTAACACAAAATCACCAGCTATTTCATGTTGTGCTCACACAGCAACTTTCTTCAGAGCCTTTTTCCCATACCATCAAAGCAAAATCAGTTCTTCCTTGAATACAGCTAATCTACAGTAAGGATCCGGTATCTTAAAATAAGATTGCTCTTCATGGATGGCAACCTCTAGATGATGATCCCATAAAGATTCATCATTCAGATTTTCGGGTATGGACTTATTAAACGCTAAACCTAACAAAGAAATTGCTGTTTTTATCAGGCCTGGGAACAGAAACAAGAACTTTTAAAAGACTACACGTTCTCTAACAGATTCTCTGCAAAGGCAGAAGATGAAATTTGGTGGATTTTTTCTTCCTTTGAACATTGTAGGGTTTATTGGTATACTTTTGTACAAAGGTTTCCAAGTGTTCTATGTACAATGAAGTTTTGAGACCATCTACAAAAAAAGTCAAGAGCCTACATAACCTTCATTAAGCACTACATGCCATAAAGGTGACAACGATTTCTGTGCTCTAAAACTACAACAATTAATACCAGCAGCACTAGGCAACACTTCACATGTTCCAAACCTCATACAGATTATTTAGCTTTAAAAGACTCTTTGGTACATTGGGAAGTTATCATTATTACTTATTTATAGATTAACAAGCAATAAATCATGTTGTATTAGGACTTCCCCAAAGTTTCTCTGAAATTAGTAAAAAAACAAAAAAACATGTGAAGACGCTTCACTAAAGGTGCTACTGAAATTCCAGAACTACACATCATTTTCTCAGAGAATCAATACTGTAGTGTATATCGATAGTAAACCACCTACATTGTACTCATTAGTCTCCAGTGAATCCTGAAGAAATGTAATAAATATGTATAAAGAGACCTTTTGAGAAACTGTCTGACCCCAACTTAAGTTTATCCTTAGTAAAATTATTCCTGATATACAGCACTATTACATAGGACATAATTTATCAGGACACAAATCCCATTTCTTTGCCTCAGGCTAACTTCATGCAGCACGAGGGCAACACGACGCCTCCATTTCAAGACTAAGGAGAGAAAAAAGCTGGGAAAAAAGAGACAAGAGCAGATTATTTTTGGCTAACCCACCTTAAAAACATCCTTATCCCACCCAAAACATACTCCCAGCCAACCCTGCTCTTACTGTAAAACACTCAAACCACAGAATAGCCAATGTCTGTGAACACAACGTGCTCCTTCATAACATGACCAGACTTACTCACCACCTACTCACTCCACAGCTCAGCTGGCCAGAAGGGACTGTCCTGTCAACGTGTATCATGCATTTGATCTGTATTAAATTAAGCAGGAACCGTTGTATACAGAAGTTCTTTAATTGTAACTTAGTCTTCTGATTTTTAGTTGTGAACCTGTGTCTCCTGAACCTGGATTTGTTAACAGAAGGTATGTGTTACCCAAATTAGGTGTTTTGTATATTAGATGCTTCTTATGGCTAAAAAAGCACTTATTAGTAAAACAAGGTCATAAGAATATGACTGTAATTCATAGTGAATAACCAAAAAGACACCTTAATTTAGAGAGTAACATGGTGAGCATCTTCCTACTCTTCTTATTAAATAATTTCACAACCCCTTTTCTAAAGCTGAATGCTAAAAAATAATTTTTTTTTAAAAACCCACCTTAAAAATGCTACATTCATGTACTTTAGCACTTATATTTAAACCAGGGTGGCCTTCAAGTAGACTGAGAGTCCTTCCATGCCAAAGCAACAAGTAATGCCACTTCAGCATTTCAAACCTACTTATTTAATCAAAATAGTAAGTAGAGCTGTCAAACAAAGCAAGTGTCATCCCACTATTTATTCTTCTTGACTACGTACCAGGCATGTCTTTGCTGGTACAGGCAAGAAAAGAGCTTAGAGTGCAAGAAGTCCTTCACTCCAGATGAACCAAGCTATCCTAATGAAGTCATTTTTTGTTATAGAAGTAAACTTAACGCCTGGCTTTCTGCAGGTTTGGATATAACCTTAGAGAGAGAACAACAGCAACACTGAGTCAGAAGCTTTATTGGGACTACTGCCACCACCCTCCCCATCCCAGTGTACTTGGAATAGGAAGAGTCGGGCCAGGGCTGTTGTACAAACCCTTTCTTAAGTAGCACCTCCTCATAAAGCGCAGCATCTCCTGGGCCTCCATGAAAAAGAGATGGAGCTGAGGAACAAGCACTTACGGGCTTGCATAAAGGTGAACGTGTGCAATGGCATTATATCCTTACAATGACTCCAAATCTTAAGTCAGAATATATAAACCCCTCCATTAGGCCTAAAGCTTACATGGCCAAACGAGGCTTTTGGTCATGTAGCAGTTACACCAGCTGATATCTACAAGACTCAGTTACCAAACAGTTCTTGAAAAATATGCTTGAAAAAGAACATACTTGAAAAATAGACAAATAAAAATCATAGGTGTAAGTATACAAGGGTAAGCACTGAGTACAAATACTGTGGGCCAGTTCCCACATGCTCTGATTTTATTCAGATCTGTTAAAATGTGTACAAAGAAATTTTTTAATGA